AGTGGCTAGATCACTTCAAGGTCACCTCTGTGTCTCTGCTCAGCATGGAGGATTAGCATCCCAACATGGCTGGCACCAAGATGATAGTTCTTTTTTTGTTATTTTTATTTATTTTTTATTGTGAAAATACTGTACAGAGGGGTTACAATTACATGGGCAAGATAATGAGTACATTTCTTATCAAGCATTGTAGCCTCCTCCCCTTCCCATTGTGTCTGGTTCTTGAAAATCCTTTTCTTGTCATTTTAGTTGAATGTTGAAAAAAGAAAACAAACTTTCTAGTTGCATTTAATATTCCAGCTTTTATTATAAGAAATCTTTCCTGTCAAGTGTTTAAGATGCCTGAACTGCTTAGTAGAATCTAATTTATTGCATTGGTAAGTTCGATTTATTAGTTTTAGAAGGGTTATTTGAGTACTTAGCAGAGATTAGATCTTTGCATTTCTGGTTTGTTCCACCTGGCATTTAAGGTGTGTGTTAAAAATTATAGATTATGTACAAATACAGTTTTCAGTATTTTAAGTTAGGTTTGTACAGGAGAGTACATTTTTGAGAAACAATCTATTAAAGTTTTGAGTTAATGGAACCAAGTGACTTTATTTTATACAAAAATAATGAGTTATAAAAACAAATTAGGAAAAACTATAGTTTTTTAATTAGTACTCAGTTTAGAAAACTTATACAATTAAATATAAATAATTTGAGTCTTTTACTTAAAAGACAAATCCTTCTCTAAAAACTTAGTTGGTATAAATTAAAAATAACATAATGACATTATATCACAAAAGTGTAAAGGATATATAAATAGAATTTTGCTTTAATTTGGCTGAAAGCTGTGGTTTGGGTGCCAAATATATCCATACTCTAAAAGCACTCTAAGAATTTTCACTTTAGTTTGATCCATATTAGTCTATCATGTCCCTAAAAGGTATGGTACCAATGATAGGAACAATGCTGAAAGAATTTCTTTGCAGGAAGTGGTTAGTATCTTGAGCTTCCAGCCCCACCCCAGTATGGCTTAGGGAGAGAGCCAAGCATAATGGCTAAGGGAACCTACCCCACGCGTTAAACCTAACAAAAATCTTCAGGGAGATTAACTAGAGGAATGTTTGTAGCTGTCTCGCTACAGACACAGAGATTGTGCACTGAGTTACTCTTCTACGATGAAGAAGCAATGTGGAGCTATTTCCTGGAAAACAGGTACCTAGTAAGTGACTACTAGTAAACTATTGTAAATAGACCTCTGGGATGGTCTGAAAAGGGCTCTCCTGCCAAAAGAATATTAGGAACTGAAAGGGAACCCCAAAAGACACGTTAGATGAGTTTATAGGTGTGGAGTAAAGTCAAAGGAATATCATTTTGTTTGTCAAAACCTATGTGCATCTGATCATTAGAACGAACTTCAGGAAATGGAAACAAAGGTTTTTTTTCTTTGTTGCTGTTTTTGTTTTCTTTCCTTTTTGTCTCATTTGCTATTTGGGAGGGTAAGAAGGCCACAGAAACGGAGGACAAAGGGTGAACGATTGCAGGAGTGGGACTCTCTAGAAACTATTGAAAATGAATTATACAACTTGCGGGGCGGGGGGGATGAGAGGGAAAAACTGAGAGTGAGGAAAGGGGTGACATTCCTCAAGAAAAATGTACTCATTATCTGACTTATGTGACTGTAACCCCTCTGTATATCATCTTTATAATAACAATAAAAAACCATAATGAGCAACAGAAAACAAAGAAATTTTATGTGAAATTATATGTCCTTTGGCGTAACTCAGTATAACTCCATAGGGGGGGAAAAAGTATATTTCCAATTGGAAATGAGTATTATAACAAAGAAAATCACATAACTTTCTGGCCATGGTATTAGTAGCTACAATCCCTGATTTCATAGGTGTAAGACTCTGCTGCAGTCAGAAGTAATAATAAAATCTGATATGATTGGCTAGACATAGCTTTATTACTAAAACTCTCTAGGATAAGCCAAAGGTCTTTAGCTTCTCTCTTCCTTCTCTATTTTCTATTTTCTCTAAGAAACTACTATTTCTGTTATGGTCATTTCAACTATGGAGTTCTCCAAAATTTCATATTTTATAAATTGGTGATTATTTATTTTTGTGTGTCCGTTATGGGGCTTGAATTCTGGGCGCTGTCCCTCAGCTCTTCAGCTCAAGACAAGCACTCTACCACTTGAGTCACAGCGCCACTTTTGGTTTTCTGGTCGTTTATTGGAGATAAAAGTCTCACAGACTTTCCTGCCTGAGCTGGCTTTGAACTGCAATCTTCAGCTTTCAGCCTCCTGAGTAGCTCGGATTACAGGCATCAGCCACCAGCGCCCAGCTTGGTGATTCTTTAATAAAGCCTATTGGCTTTGTTATGAAATATGGTATTGTCCTTTAACTTCATCACTGTTAAATTTTACCTATAAAGTCTAGAATGAGTTAGCCTCTTTCACATTAGCAAAGGCAATGTGCATTATTTTAAAGGCTGCCAGAACCCATGGCTAATCCCTGTAATCCTAGCGACCCAGGAGACTGAGATCTAAGGATCACGGTTCAAAGGCAGCTCAAACAGAAGAGTATATAAGACTCGTTAATTAACCAGCAAAAAGCTTAAAGTGAATCTGTGGCTCAAGTGGAAGAGCTCCAGCTTTGAACAACAAAAAAAGCTATGGACGGTGGCTAGTCCCTGAGTTCAAGCCCCAGCACAAGCACAAAATCACTTCTATTTTAATTTTTAATTTTTTTTGCCAGTCCTGAGGTTTGAACTCAAGGCCTGAGTACTCTCCTTGAGTTTCTTTGGCTCAAGGCTAGCACTGTACCACTTGAGCCCTAGCACTACTTCTTGCTTTTTGAGTTTATGTGGTATCGAGGAACTGAATCCAGGGCTTGATGCAAGCTAGGCAAGCACTCTACAACTAAGCCATATTCCCAGTCACAAAATTACTTTACAAACCTACTTTTATGTTGTTCATTATTGAATACTACAACCAGTGTGTGACACTGGCAGGCAGAGCTCGGTGTGAGTAATCATGCTAGCTAACCTAGACATTAAATAATGCTGGAAAAAATACAACCACCCTGTCCCCAGACTTATTATTTCAGCCACCTCTCAGAACAAAGGCTATGTTCTAAGTTTATTATTAACTCTTGTTCCTCCACATCCACATCGCTTTATGCCTGCTAAAAGGTTTTATTTCTCTTCAAGCAAGCTACTCTGAATTTGATCACTACTTGTCTATATTATATGCCCAGTAAAAGAAATCTGTGTGTCTTGCTCACTTTCTAGTCCATGACAGCTTTAGACAATTTACCAGTCACTAGCTACTGCATATTAAATCACCTTTATCATGCGAGCAATTCTTGTGAGACTCTGAATAGTGGTTGCATGCAAAGAAAATAAATGTGACATTAAATGTAATATAATTTCACTTGATTCATCTGCTTTCATATATAGGATATTTGCTTCTATAAGTTTCCATGAGGGAAAGAGAAATAACAAAAGTCAAACAGCATTTGAAAGGTTTTGAAAGAACTGATATGAGGCAATCAAGATATCACAACAACACACATACTAGTATATTTTTCTTGAAGCCATAGATTGGCAAGTTCTCCAACTGCCTTCATAGAAGGACCACTAGATAAACACCTCAACCTGTTGTTTGCATTATATTATTTGGTTCTACTTGTCAGCTTTCTCTAACAAGTGATTGACATTCTAAGCAGATGAGAAATGAAGAAAAAGGAAAGACATGCTTTTAGAAACTTACTTCTCAGTTTCCTGGGTTTAGAGCATATTTCTTGGAATTGAGACTTCTGCCACAGTTGCTTGTCGACCTTGCTTTCAAATATTCTTGCTGTTGCACTGGGTTTATTTCCATCCTGAATTCTAAGTGTCTAAGTACAGAGTATCTCTGAATAGCACCCTGTTTTCTCCATCTTTAGCAGCGTGTTGAAGTGAGAAGTCTACACTTTCTCACTTGTCTCCCTCTAACTAATTTTAAGAAGCTTTGAATCCTGGGTAAGACAGTGGTAGCTAAAGGACTGAAGAAACAAATACAAATACGTGTTTTAGGTTTGAAAGGGCAAGTTATTCATTTACTCAAGGAATGTTCAGGGAAATATTTAGCTTTAACATTAAACACATTTTAACCCGGTGACCCGGTGCCTGTGACTCATGCCTGTAATCCTAGCTACTCAGGTGACTAAAATCTGAGGATCCCAGTTCAAAGCCAGCCTGGGTAGGGCAGTCCGTAAGACTCTAGTCTACAATTAACCACCAAAAAGCTAGACTTGGAGTTATAACTCAAGTGGTAGATAATCAGTACAGAGACAATGCGTAGGCCCTGAGTCCAAGCCCCAGGACCAAAACAAACAAACAAAAAAATCAAACATTTTTTGAGGGCTGAAGGACATTTAATATCAGCCCCGCTTTGTTCCTCACCAAGTATTAGCTTCAGTCATTTTATATTTTCTACATTAAAAGCATATTGTTTCAGGGCTGGAGGTGTGACTCCTGTGGTAGAATGTCAAATCCAGAGTTCTAGTACCAGTCTACAACAAAAATACAAAAAAGACACTGTGCTTTAAACACAAGAGTTGGTGAGGATGTGGAGAAACTGCAACCCTATGCACTGTTGATGGAAATGTAAAATGACGCAACCCTGAGGAGGTAATGAACAGCAGCATGGAGTTTCCTCAGGAAATAAAAAATTCAACTGCCAGAAGACTCAGGAATTCCACAAATAGTTGCATATACAGGCAACTTGAAAGCAGAATTTCAAAGAGATATTTGTACACCCAAATTCATAAGAGGCAGAATCAACCCAAATATCTACCAATTCATCTACTGATGGTTATTTGAGTTATAATCCTAGCTACTTAAGAGGCTGAGATCTGGGGATCATAGGTAGAATAATCTGTAAGTCTTTTATCCCCAATTACTCAAGAAAGAACCAGAAACGGAGGTGTGGCTCAAGTGGTAGAGTACCAGCCTTGAGCAATGAACCCAAGGGAGAGCACAAAAGGTCTGAGTTCAAGACCCAGTACTGATATACACAGACACAGACATAGACACACATACACACACACACACACACACACACACTTACATACACAAATCCATAAATGTATATGTTCTCCCCCTCAAAAAAATAGAGTTTCTATACAAAATAAGGAGTATATAAAATACACTGGAATATCTTTCAACCTTAAGAAAAAACATGCTACAGCATGGATTATCCCTGAAGACATTATGCTAAGTAAACTATGCTTGCCACTCAAGGGCAAATACTGTGTGATTTCACTTTTCTATTGTATCTTAAGTAGTCAAATTCATTGAAACAAAAGGTAGATGGGTGACTACCAAGGCACAACTTCAATAGTTATGGAGTTTCAGAGCTCCAAAAATGAAAAAGTTCTGGAGATTTCTTTCAGAGCAATATGAATATACTTATGACTAGTGAACTGTACACTTAAAAAATGGTTAAATGGAAAAGAGAAACATGATGCATTCAAGAACATTATGTAAATTACTTTATCTATAGTTCTATGCAGCTAGAGTCACCGCTATTAGTCAATCCCTCATGCACAGAGGGGCTGGCAGCCAGTTTAAGTTTTTCAACCTAAATCATGGATAACAATTTTGTGCAGCTGGCTAGAAGAGCCTAGTGAGTCAGAATGCACGTGCTTCTTTTGCTGTGAGTTTGGAAGTGAACATCATTTGGGCTGTCACCAGTATAATTTCTGGAGTTCGAAACAATGATTGCTCCCCCAAACTGAAAATCTAACCAGGGCATGAAGGCTCCATTTGATCAGATCAAGTATATATAGCAGAGTGATTTTCAGAAGTAGGAGCAGAACATAGTCTGAGTTTAAAGCCTGTTCCTGTTCATGGCTATGTAGCTTTGGTCAAGCTCCTTAACCTGTCTCATCTCTCTACAGGGAAGGAATAAAGCAGTAGCTACTCATGCAGTTGTCATGAGCAGGGAAGCAGATGGGGTATGGGGCATGTAAATGTGTCCTGTTGGGTCATTCATGGAATGAAGTCTTAGTAAATCTTGACTGTCCTTTACATTATCTTTGAAGACATTACGCTATGTCACTCAAGGATGAATATGGCTTGATTTCACTGTTTGGTGGTATCTGAAATAAACAGATATCACATATTTGTGTATGTGTGTGCATGTCTTTATTTATAATTTTTGGAAGAAATATCCACAACTAAAGAGCTTTTTTTCTTCCATATTTTGAATGGATAAACAAAATCAAATTTATCCCTCTTCCTTCCCCGTCCCTCCTGACCTAAATATTGCAATTACAGAATTAGCTAGGTGACAAGCTGTTTAATGTGGCACCCTGGCTTTAAAAGAAGTTTTTCTAATATCTGTCCTCCAGTCATGGTGTTGTTTTCCAGATCCCCACAACCTTTAGGTAGCCTTTCAGCAATGACTGAAATAAGAAACTCAAAACGATTTTATTATTAACAATTTTCCTTCTTATCTCACTTACAGAAGAGGATGCAACATAAAGATGATGTGACAATCATTATGTAAAAGAAGTTAGATCTGCTCAGCAATCTTCCAGAACTTTATAAGGCAGTAAATTATCATTCAGACATACCATTTAACTTTAGGTGTTAGCTAAATCATCAAATATCATGATGACTGGCTAGTTAACAAAATAATCAACATTTGACAACTCCTGATGTGGTAGACAAAGTCAAACTTTTACATGGATTCTTAAAATCTAATATTTACCATGATTTTGAGACATATATGTCTTGTTTTAAGACAGTAAAGAAACACAGGCATAGGGAAGTAGAGTATTTTGCCTCAGGTCACAAAACTACCAAGTGATTGATCCAACATTTAGGCTCATTTTATCAGGCAATAGTGCTATCTAAGTTCAGCTGCCAGCTTTTCAATATCCTTCCTTGTAAAGACAGGCATCTTCTTGTTCTGTCTTGGCCTGTGCTTTTCTGCTCATCTGTTTAGCTACAGCATTAGGCAATTCTGGAAAGGGGAAAAGCAGGATGAATTCTGGACTTCAGGTAAGATAAAAAGACACACAGGAGAGCCAGAAGTTGGACCTAAGTCAAAGGAGAAGAGCTTTAAGTATCAAAGAGTAGCAAGCAGAGAATTTTAAGAAGCAAGGAATGAGTTCTATGTGGTCACTGTTATAAATAAGCACAATCACATCAATAGAAAATTATAACAAAAACCAAGGAGTAAGAAAGAAATGGGGCCTAGAGTAAGCCAGTAACTCACAGTTAATGAAAAAAAAATCCTAGAACCAAAATAGACATGCTGGGGTCAGGCAAACGAAGATGGAGCCAAGAATTTCAGGGCCATTGTGAAGTGAGAAATCTAAGTTAACAATCAAGAAGGTGGCTCTGCTAGGTGCAAGAGGTGCTGGTGGCTCATGCCTGTAATCCTAGCTACTCACAAAGCTGAGTCCTGAAGATAGTGGTTCAAAGCAAGCCCAGGCTGGCTTTTTTTTTTAATTTTTAATTTTTTATTGTAAAAATAGTGTACAGAAGGGTTAGTTACATGAGTAAGATGATGAGTACATTTCCTATCAAGCGTTGTTTCCCCCATGAGACTCTTATCTCCAATTAACTACCAAAATAGCTGGAAATAGAGCTGTGACTTGAGTGACAGAATATTAGCCTTGAGCAAAAAATCTCAGGGACAGTGCCCAGTGCCAGACTAACCCTTCGAACAGAGAAGGTGGCACGCATGGTAGGAAGGTTTGTGTATTTTCATCGTAGGAACAAATTATTTTTGAGAAGATTATCTAGGTGGTAACTAAAGTTGAAACTATTAGAACCAGGGTAGAGACTAAATGTGAAGACTGAAAATGTTGTTGCTAAGGCAACATACCATGAGAACCCCACAGAATAACGTGAGCACTTTTTCTCTTGACAACTCATTGTTCAGAGTCTAGAACTCAGATACAAGGAGAATGCAGAAACAACTCTATTTTACAAATGAACAGCGGATGTATTGCACTCCCACCAAATCTCTCATTTGTTGTCTTCCTTCTTTCATCTCTGTTGCATTTTACAATTACAGACACAATGTATATAGTCAGTTCTTAACACCTAGACATAATGAGAACTAAAATAGGGTTGTGCATGAGAATTTACTATGATTTCTATCCTTCACTCATTCAGAGCTATGAGTATTCTCTATATGAATTCATTTCTTTGCAAAGTGAGTGAAGTTCAGATGGCTTCTACCATTTCCTATCTGTGTATCCATGTCGGTTTGTACTTGGGAACACTCAGTGGAAGAAAAATTACTTTATCAATCACACGGCTTTTTGCTCTAAGAAATTATGTGCATCAACAATGAGATGTACAAGTCTTTATGTTGAAAACATAAAGAGGGAGCCTTGAGGGGGGGCGAGAGGAGGATGGGAAGGGATGGGAAGGGGAAACAAAGGAGGAGGCTACAATGCTTGATAAAAAATGTACTCATTATCTTGCCCATGTAATTGTAACCCCTCTGTACAGTATTTTCACAATTAAAAATAAATAAAGAAATTATGTGCATCAGTCCGTGCAGGCAGGGGACAGACATATCAAATGATTAAATCTAATGCTAATCACAGTAAGTTATCACAAAGATAGTAATTGCAGGAAGTAGCTACGAACTCAAGGCCTGGAGAGCAAGGAGATGTGTTTGGAATTATTAAAGCACAGATGTTTAGAGGACAGAGTCTGCATAGGGCTGCAGATAAAATATGGTGCACAATTTAAAATGCCCTATTGGGAACATATTGATATGAATTATTATTCATTATCTGAAATTCAAATGTAATGGGCTGTTGTGTTTTCCTTTGCTAAGAGTGAATCCTAGTTGCCACAACCAAGAGTGAGGCTGGAGAGAGGAATTGCAAACAAACTTGAAGGAATATTTCAGCCTCATGGTCTCCCTTTGGTGCCACCTATTGTCAGAACCTTGCAATAGCTTCTGCCAAAGCACAAACCTGTTTATAGA